AGGGGAGGAAACACTGTCAGGGAGGGGAGAGAGCGAGAGGATGCTCGAGGAAAAAACAATCAAAGAATGAGAGGCAGGTGACAGCACCTTTTGGATGAGCTTTTCCTCTAAAGGATGGCTCACGACGAGATGCCTGACAGGATAAGCTTTCACTGTGGGATTTTTTTTTAAAGGAGAACCATTTTTTTCTGAGGATTTCATATTTTTTGGGACATGTAGTATCCGTTCTTCTGTTGAAGGGTGATAACTCTCATGTTTTTTAGCTCCATTGTGTTCTTGATCATATCTTTGACAGTTTGACAGCGACACTAAATCTTTCACTTTCAATAGCTAATAACAATGCGCCAAGATATGAGACAATGATACTTTTATGATTCCTGATAAAGAGTAACCCTTCATATGAGAAACTAGGGCCTGACTGATTTGATTTTTTTTTTGGGCCGATACAGATATCGATATCGGTGAGAGAAAAAAACGTGTTACCGATATATTGGCCGATATCTTTCTTAGATCTATGTCCAATCTGTAAAAATAGATATAGATATTTTTGGTACTGATCCCTCAAATGCAGCTATCCAACACTTATGGAAAAGATATATAGTGAAGACAAGATGGTTACTCAACTAGAAAGTACTGATAGTCTCCTGATGTGCTAATATCGGCTGATATTATCGGCTGGCAGATTAATCGGTCGGGCTCTACTCTAAACATGTGGTGATCTTTTCATATACACACTAACAGCATCAAAAGAAACAATCAAAGACCAAATTTAATTGTTATATTAATAGTTTTTTGGAAACTTGCCATAATATCATTGAGCTTGTTTACTACTCAGTATCTGCAATGTTTCAATATTACTGTTGGCTACAAGCCCCTCCCTGCTTTGAACAATCAGACCATTTCCCCTTTTTTCTCCCTTGCCAGTTAACTCCCAGCTGATTGAGAGACTCAACTCTCATGTAAAATCAGTTGTTAAATTACAGACTGGGGGGGGGGGAATGCAGCAGCTCCTCGAGCTTGAGCACAGGACTTGAACAACGCAAAAACAAACAGCGAAACATTCAAATTAGGAGATGCATCAACAGTTTTCTCATCAATCAGCCGATCATGCTGTGATGAGACAGAAATTAAAGTTGTCAGGTTAAGAGTCCAACAGATTGCTTTCACCTGAGTCGGAAATGTATTAAAATGTGTGCTGCCCCTCTACTCCTGCACGGTATAGAGTCTTTCTGAACCTTTCTTTTTGATACTCGGTTGAGTCCCTGAATGAGTGACAAAATGTTGTGGGAAAATGTCATGGTCATATTGTGGTATTGAGGATTTTGTGATTAATTGTGCAGCCTTAATCTCGAGCCATCAAACTGTTAAAGTCATAGACTGCATAGGGCTGTAAGACAAATGTCCCCCTCTGGGACAATGGAGTTGAAATTGAAGACAAAGTTTAAGATAACAACCCTGTGCTAGATGCAATGAAGCCTGCATGGAAACAATGTGAAAGCCTTGAAAAGATCCTCAATTGAAATGCCAAATATACAGACAGATCTCCAGGGCATTATTGTATGACAAAAGCAAGAATGTCTACAGAAATACATGCAAGATCAGCTAAAAGTCTTTTATGCTTGTTTTGATCTCCTCTAAAGAGCCGTTAAAAGCAGATTCCCCTTTACTCAGAGGACTTCACACTTTTATACACAGCAGAGGTGAGAAAGACCTCACTGAGGGCGAACGTAAAGCTTGTCCTACACTTTGAACATGTGCCCAATGGTCGCCACCTACACATCTCTGCTGCCTCGCCTGCTGACCTGGCACAAAACACCAACTCTTGTGATTCTAGCAGAGAAGAAACATCCGTCCTCGATAGTTCCCAACCTGTGGCATCCCACTCTATTATTCTACAGTGTTATAAGAAGGTGCCTGTACAGCATGTCAAAGATCCCTGACTGCGATTAACGTGGTACAAGATGCTCTCCAGAGTGTCCTCCACGTTGCTGTCACACCTCACAAATTAATCTTATCCCAAGTTCTATATACTGTCACTCGATTGTGGACCTCCCAGGTAGCCGACCACTGTGTCTTTGAATTGGAATCCAGACATTCATAAAAATACAGATACATCCTTCAAAGAGGGCCGATAGTGTCCCAACCTCCAGATGATTTTCAGTGGATTTGCAGAGGATTATGAAATCCACCAAGTACTAAATCCTTATTGTGTTGTTGGCCCAACATCAGGAAGAGGATTGGGTGCCGAGAGCTGACAGAACAGTTGACAAGATCAATAATGAAATACTATAATAATTGGAGTTTTCGGACCAAACTGTTCTGGGGACTTTTTGATGAGGAACTTTCCACGAGGGAGTTCCCTGAGAAACACATACCATGGGGACATGGTGCCAACTCTGAAGCAGGAGCTTAAAAGGTTCCTCTAAGCGGGGTTCCAGGAAACTAAATAGTTCACAGTTCCTTCGGTGCGAAACCAATAAAAAAGAGGCACGGTTCCAACAGGTCCTAGGTCTATGAAAAGGTTTCTGTCGTCTGAAAATGGCTAATATGCCACACAGTGCACAGAACTCTCACTAACGTGCCCTTGTACCTTGCATTGCAGTTGCATTTTATTTGCATCGCGTTTTGCCTCTACCTGTATTTTTAGCCTATTTGATTGTTCCACTGCTTTGTTTTGACGTTAAGCTGCTGTTTTGGTTTTGAAGTCTGAACTCTTTGACCCTATAATTCTCCATTGCTGCGGAAAAAGGACACAATCAACATCTAACTAACCTTGGTGGGAGGGGGGATAAAAACAGTGACATCAGAGTCCTTGGAAACAGCTTTGTGAAAGCTCGCTTCTGGAGCCATTTCCTCTCAAAGGCTGCACACAAGCTTAAAGCAAAGCACTATGTCATGTTTTCATGTGTGACTCTTTAGTATACTTAATCCCATAATCCACTGTTTTTGCTCTCTGCACACATGCTGCCGGCATAGTGTATGATCAGTGGACCCAACAGAGGATGCTGCACTGCAAGTTCCCATCAGTATAGTTAGTATCAACAAGAAAGTTGAATTACCCTGCATCACAAAAGAAGGGTTTTAACCTTTTTCCATGATAAAAAAAAGTGTTTGCTTTGATGCCTAGCAGTCCAGGATATCACTGCGAGCTGCAGGGAAACCGAGCAGAACTGGTGATTCAGTCGTTTCCTCTGTGTTCAAACCAAAGAAAGAGAACGCAGCTTTTGTGCTAATGTTGCAGGCTTTGCGTCCAACATGGAAAACTAATTAAAAAGATAAGATTTTTGTGGCGTTGCGTGAAGCTTTTCTGAGGCGGCATTGGTTGCAGCGAGCAAGCGCTGATGACAAAAGGCCTTTGACGAGAAGAACGCGGCAATGTCGCCATCCTTGGCCACTGGCCAGTTTCGGATGCCTCTATGAATGTCTCAAGGGTTATTGTGGCTTTTCAGGGTTTCCCCCCTCAAAGCTGCTTTTTGATGCTGCTTTGTGGAATCTATGTGAAGCATCTTTGTCGTGACTGAAATGCCAATGGAAGTGTCCTTGTAGCCTACATAGACTTCTTGTTGAGCAATAGCTGAGATCGCCCTTTTGCCTGAAGCAAGGATGGAAATTAGTAGACTAACAAAAAGAGGAATTATGAACCCAAATAGAAGGCTTAAATGGGTAAAATAAACACTGAAGAATACTGTTGGCCAAGCTGAATAAACACAGTTAACTTTAATGAATTTAAGTCCATTTCTTACGAGATAAAGTTAGACTGCAACTAGCTTTTTCTGTATTTCTCACAGTGTGTCCCCAGGTCTAAAAGCTGGTTTGCATTAACATCAGCTAAAGGACATGATACTCACATTGCAGGTTTATTTCCATAAAATGAGAATGTATTAAACTGGTTATGGGATATGGTTTTACCTGGTGGTCCAAGCATTCAACTAAACATATTTCCGAAGCCTGGTTAAGATATTGTCAGGACAAATCAGGCTTTCATTGGCCCTAAATATAAATGAACACTATTTAGATTTTAATAATTGGCATATGGTTATAACCACCTGTCTTGTTCATGTATTAACAATTACTGTTCAAAAAATCTGGTCAATATACTGATGTGGAAATATTTTGATAAAGGTTCCTTGTATATGGAAATAAATCCATCCATCCATCTATCTATCCATCCATCCATGCATCCATCTATCCATCCATCCATCCATCCATCTATCTATCCATGCATCCATCCATCCATCTATCCATCCATCCATCCATGCATCCATCTATCTATCCATCCATCCATCCATCCATGCATCCATCTATCTATCCATCCATCCATCCATCCATGCATCTATCTATCCATTTTTTTTAATAATCAATCTGGCATGTAGATAGATCGCGACTTGAACTTGTACTTGTAGCTTTAAACATTCTGTTTTTGTCTTACATATCACATTATTCCCATCATCATCATCCCTTCATCTAATCTATTTCTGATCTCAGACAACAAACCACATGAACTCACACAGCTGTCCTGTAGAAGAAGCTGCATGTCAACAGTGAGACACACTGATCTAAGTGGGCACCTGATTATGTCACGTTGCTTGAGAGAGATTTGGATTAGTGTTGTGGGAAGTTGACAAAGCTGCAAAGCCAGGTTTCGCCTTGATAGAGATGCATCTTGACATTTGTATCATCAACAGCCTCTTCCTGATTATACAGTAAGTCCCTGAAGAGTCACTGGTCTAAATAAAGCAGAGGCAGACAAACACTTTGGAGAACCGAATTTGTGCATGACGCTGCTGGATGTCTTCCAGCCGATCTTAGGTCCCGCAAAAGTTCTGTGATTATCGCCTTAGAAGAACTTTGGCAGTTTCCTTTTATATTTGTGCTTAGATTGAGCATCTCTTGCCAGAATCATTATCGCCTCTTCTTCTTCTGAATGTTTTGGATAGATTCAGTGCACTCGCAGCTTGTCTCCGTGCAAGATAACAAGTCAAACTTCTGTTTCCTCACAGGACTGGTGAAAAATGAAAGCTCCCATCCCTCTTCTGATCCTGCTTCACGCCGTTGTGGTCCATTGCCTGAAAGTGGTGTCTAAGAGAGGCTCAGGTAAGTCTCACCAACAACTGTATCATTCTTTCAGTGCTGACAATTGACACCAGGGAAAATATGCAAAAAAATAACTTTCTTAGTTTTACCGTATGTAAAACAGCTACTGAATTGCTTCCAGTTTGATTCCAAGGAACCCGCCAAGACTTCAAGGTTCTGTTTGGCCTCGATGCACCAAACATGTTTCAGTCAACAGCAGGGGGGATCACATTGCCTTGTGTTGTTGTACTTGGAGAAACAGCTTTGATGAAAAACAGGGCCGTCCTGTCCTTTTAACGGCTTACTTTCTAAGTCCTCAAACACACCAGTTGTTTAGTTTGATGCCCTACTAATGCTGCAGTATTTCTTGGTTGGTCTCTGGATATGACTTGAATGATGTCTGGTATCATGACACAGACTTGTTGAGTTTGAAAGGGTTAACGGCTGAATGCTTTAAATGCACTACGGGCGATCACATCAACTTTGTGCATTTCGGTTAATCTGCTCAATCCTCATTATCCTTTTTTGGCTTAAATCTCCCTTTTAACAGTGCACCCTGGAGTCATTTTCATCCTGCCTGTTCTTTTAAATGCTTAATTTAATGCTATTTGATAGTACAACCCAAACATAACCAGGAGATGCACCAGAACACAACTAGGTTAAGTGCTAGGGGTGCACTGCGAACGCGAGTTGAACCCACGACCTTGGTTTCTGTTTTTGTCTATTAGGAGTCCCAAGCCTCGAATTCTGCACCAACTGTACAAAGGTGAACACTGAGTGAGTGAGTGAGTGAGTGAGTGAGTGAGTGAGTGAGTGAGTGGGCAAATGGTTGAGTTACTTCCTGGATCAGCACGTTGCATCTAATAATGCAGCCGCGGCCTTTGTTGGAATATTCAATTGTTTACATGGCTGTGGCACTAATGCTGCATGACGCTCCACACTTCTAAATGATGACTTCCTGCAAGCTGGAGGAACAATTTGCATTGGCTAACATAAAACATAATGGATGTTTTTCTTTCCAAAGGCTGCTTGCGTCTGTTTTTTTTTTTGTTTTTTTTTACCCATGCATATTATAGACGCAGGTGCTGGAATGGCCCAAGGCTCATCAAAGGGTTTTTCTGCTTTTGCAGCAGAAGTCCCTACGGGCTACCTCCTCAGATGCTTCACGAGCCATTGCCTGGGGCTGGGATTTGAAACGTGTCCACTGATAAATGAACAACCCAATCGGAGCCAGACCCCCGTCCTTTGTTCCTCTTCGTCTCTTAGCTCGTACGGCTTTATTAGAAGACGTGCCGGTTGCGAGTTAGAGTGCACTTGTAAAAGGGATTTCTGGGGCAATGAAAGCACGTTTGAATTTGCAATCGCTTTTGTTTTTTATTGACTAGGAAGAAAACAGCGTGGGCGGGGAAGGGGAGTATCCTGGTGGCAGGACAGAAACATTTCTCAGAGGTTAGGGTTCCTGTTGATGAGATGAAACTTTTGAAGCGTCTCATTTTTATGGCATCTATCGAATCAGGCTCATAGTTTCCTTTAAAACCCTTTTCTTCAATGACTGTCTCTCATAGGAAACAGCCTGTTGGCACGATTGATATGTTATATAAGAGGGCCAAATAACTTAACAAAACCTCCTTTAAAGCGATAAAAGCTTTGCCTTGAGTCGACAGTTTTCTTCCAAGATGAAAATCAGCCAAACACACTGAGCTGCTTAGAGCCCTGTAAACATGACGTGCCTTTTTTTTTATGGTTCCCTTTTGTGAAAAAAATTCACTGTAGACAATGAAACTTGTGTCAGCCCATTAAAGGAAATTAAACGACTTGATTGACTCCCTCGGGGACAATAAATCCCTGGTCTCACTTGCTTTTCCCCTCGACGGGCTCACACAAACACACACAATCCACAAACAGGATGCACGTGCGCCACTATCCGTCCGTGATTACATTCAAAAACACAGCCTCTTCGAGTAATGCTTTGTCTGCATTTGTACACAGGAAAGGAACAGCGCAAAAACAACACATATCTGCCATGCTAATCCTCGACATGCAGAAGCAGGGGAATGTATCCGTCCGTCCTCCGCTGCAGCTCCTTCTTTGTAAGAATGCTGATTTGGCCTGAATGGTTGGGCGAACAGAATAATGATGTATATTTCTGCTTAATGCAGCACATCAAGGCGGATGTTGAAGTCAAATCCCCCCCCTCCCTCGATCTCGGATACTCTTACATTGTTTGTGTTTGAACATCGTGCCATTTACATGAGGCATCTTCTGGTTTGTTTAAAGGGAGATGTAGCCGTTAACGCAAGCTAAGAATATGAATGGACTGTGAAGCTTGGAGTTCAATGTAAAAACAAGGTGGTTAGCAAAACCCTTCAAAGATAGAATAAAAAAACGATTACAGGACTATTAACTTGTTAAATTGAAAGGTCACATGCTGCTGACCTCCTTTATATTCTTCCATCATCAGCCACTTAAAACACGTAGTGCTGAAATTAACAGCTAAATGCTAATTGTGAATGTTTTTGATGATACACATAAATGCCATCTTTCCCAGTTCGCTCCTAAACCTTGGTATTTTTGAAAGTGATCCAGTTTAGAGATCTGGTTTAATGGCTGGAAATGTTAACAGACAGTAGCATAGTTTATTGGCCTCTGTATCACGACACTGCCGTTAACCAGAATGCACTTTGAAGTGTTTTTGGGGAATTCTGGAAATGTCCCGAGTCCAGCGATGGTATATTGGTCGCATCAGCGTGTCTCAACATTATGTTACCGTATCCTATGGCTTATAGAAACAGTCTTCCAACTCTTCATAATCCCACACTGCAAGGGAAGCTTCTTTCTACAAATAGCTGTTTAAGTTATTCCTGCAGTTTTGAAGTTGGCGATCTCTGGCGTCGTGAGGATCAGTCTTTTTCTATGACTTTGCATTCCTTGTTCAGGAATCTAAAAAGGGACCCTGTCTCTGAAATGGGACTATGTGTTGTTATTGTCCTAACCACACAGTCAGCTCCATTGTTGGCCACTTGCGCCGTCCCATACAATAGATGCTTGGAAGAGCAGTGTGAGGAATCCCTAAATGTTCCCTTTTTGGTAACTTGGCAGCGAGTTGAGTCCTCTTCTTTTTGTGCACTACACAGCTGCAATTGATTTGATATGAAATAGAAGCTGGAGATGGTGTGTGTGTACAGGCTCACTTCAGACTCTGTAAAGTAATAACTACATTTATTCGTCTCCTCACCTCTGAACATGGAGTACAATCAGAGCGAGAGGGCGCCTCAGAGGTTACCCAGAGCTGCCTTTCTGCAGACCTGAATACAGAGTAGAATAAAAAACGGGCATGCACATAAACAGAACATTATTGTTGAAGTAGCATCACCATCCATCTGCAGTATCCATGTTCCTCCCTCGCATTAACACTTTCTATGATTTACAGCCATTTTCCAACTCGCCTGTTCATAACATTCATACTTTTTGAAGACTGGACCATTTGTTGTGGCGACCACAAGGCCAACATTTTGGCTTTTGAATGACCTGGTTTTCTTTCTTTGGGCAAACCTCAGTTGTGAATGTCCTTCAAGGATAAGTCGACCGTCTATCTGTTGGTCATAACCAAAAGGCAATTTCTATCCCGAGTTTTTATCCAAGATCCAAAAGCAAGCTTTAAATTAAAGATACTTAAAACCATTAAAAACACTGAATGAAGCAGTTTCAGGATTTTCAGGAATGAGGGTTTCTCCCTAATCTCTTCAGTGGGAACAGGATGTCCAGGCGGGCTGTGAACCCAACTGCATGGACTTAGCTTGTTTCTAAGTTGGTCAGCTTGTTTTGGGGGTTTCCTTCTGCGTTTATTTCACCAGGTTTTCAGAAATTGTCCACAGCCGTTCACTACCGTTTCATATCTAACAGACCTGATGTTCAGACCTGTAAGAAACCTGTTTTGTCTGACAAAAGTTGTTTTATGTAGGGCCGGACCGATATGGATTTTTTGGGCCGATACCAATGTTGATATTGGGTAGAGAAAAATCTGATAACGATATATCAGCTAATATCTTTCTTAGATCTATGTTTGATAGAAAAGGGAAAATATATATATGCATAATTGCGTGACACTCTGGAGAGTGATAATGGTTGTTGTAATCCATATAGCGCCCTCTGCTGGTGAAAGAGAACTGTTAGTGTAATACAATGATACTCAGATAAAATTCTGTCTGACTGGTAAATAAGTCGAGTAATATCGACGCATACCTGCGATAAAATTAGACGATACTGATAATCACTGGAAATGCTAATATCGGCAGATATTATCGGCTGGTTGATTTATTGGTCGGGCTCAAGTTTTTTTTTTACTTTTCACGGCTGGACAATTAAATTATTTTCTTCATTTAAATTGGTTTGCTTTTTTGTATTGACGAATCTTACCCCTTAACTAAACTGTTAAGATGTGTGTCACCCCCCCCCCCCTCCAATCCCCTCTGGTGAACAGGGTTTACATGTGTAGCTCTGACATTGATTGAGACACATTTGGCCCCTCTCCTCCTCCTCTGCCACAGTCTCCCAGTCATTCCAGCAATGCATTACTGGTAATGCCCGTGCTCCCAGTGAATGCATCTTTCTGCCATCATGCATGTGTGAAAAGTCCGTCTCTGACATGTGTTCCCATTTGGAGGAGGAATGCAGAATGTCTCCTCTCTGCTTCTAGCTCCTATTAAGGATGGTCTGAAGGCCTGCTGTGTCACTCTGATGAAGAGTGGCTGTAAATATAACACGCCACCGCAACAAGACCTTGGTTCCTATTAGAGAGCAGCCGCTCATCATCCGTCTCTCCCTGCGTATTTATCTACTGCCGCTACAGTAGGTCCACAACATATATCCCCCCCCCCCTTTCTTCTCTCTCTTCACTGACTTCTTCTCTCTGCTCTGGCAAGAGGAAGAACCAAGGACGCCCTGACAGTCTGTGAAATTTACAGTCTTCACACCCATCGCAACACACAACTCCGGGAGGATGTCAACATTAATATGTCAGA